AAATTACCCAGGAAAGAGAGAAAGGAGCCTGAGAAGCACCGTGCACTCCCAGGAAAGCCAACCTGAGCACTGGTGCTTGGCCCCCCAGCACCCACCTTTTAGCAGGAATGCTGCACGGGCTCCGTCATGCTCCTCTGCTCGAGGATTTGTCTGTTTTTTTAAGTGAGAAAGAAAGAAAGAAGGAGAGGTGGGAATCCTGAGTATTTGCTGTGGAGTGCAGCTGCTTACTGCTCTTTCCTGTAACGCCAAACACCCGTTTTATCACAGACCCGTTCTGAGAGTAACCGGGGTCTTTGGGGTTTTGATCTCATCCCTCAAACCCTTAGTCATTTTTCTGTAGTGTCTTTAGCAGACAATGAGTAAAGACTGTATGTAAAGCAGAAGTGCAGTAATTCCCAAACTGTGATTTTTATAGTATTGCTAGCATTTCTTTTTGCCTAACACATTCTGAAGGGCTGTTAAAACAAGGCAAAAGAACTACCGGGATGCCTCCTCCCCTAGGTATGGTTTTTTTTTTTTTTTTTTTTAATGATTTTAGAGGTCATTTGGTGAGGCAAAATAATAAAGCTTTCACAGCATTTCAGCTCACTGGTGGAAATGTTGTGACAAGGACCGTTACAGCTCCCTGAGGTGTAAATAAAATAAATACAGTCACAAATGTAATGACTTTTAGCTTTCTGTAGCTATCTCAAGGGTTTGACATACACTGATTTCATGACAATGAATGGATTTATTGGAAATGCAAACTTCCAGGTACACAAGGGCTACCTAGATTGCAAATTACCCGTGCAGTGGACATGAGAAACAACAGAGGAGCTTGTACAGACACCCTCTCGCTGTTGTCTTTCTGGTGCAGGTTATTGATTCGGACACCTCCGGAGCACAGCTGAAGCACTCCCAGGGCTGGGTTAGCTCTAAGAGCAGCCTAGTGACTTTTAGATGATGAGAGCCCAAGCTAGGAATTTCTCCTAGATCTAAGCTGCTTTCATGACCAATTATCTCAGGTTTCCTTATCTTGTTGGTGTGTCCAGGGACAGCACAGACCCCATAGAGTGAGCTGATCTCAAGGGGGGCCAGGACAACGTCTCCTACTCAATAGGTCTGCATTGTGCTCTATAGTGCTTTAAGATCCCAGACGGCCTGTCAGTTCGGGCTCCATGGGATGGATCCCTGCAGGCAGCTTGGGCCAGGTTTGTAAACTCGCCCCGGACCTGAAGCGCTGGGGAACGAACGCGCTGCAGAGCAGCCCACGCGGCGCCGCAGGAGCCTGGCCGGGCGCTGGAGACGCAGCTCACGGCAGGCAGCTCCTCCTGGACCCTCACAGCCAGCCTGGGGAATCAGCACAACATTCCCTGGGCTCCTGTCAGCCACACCTTCCCATTAACAGGAACATCACAGCTTCCATCAACTGCAATAACCAAGAGGACCCGTACTGCAGGGGGGCACTTGTCTATCTCCGTGCTCTTTTCAGAGGTGCAGTCTTTCTCTGAGCAAAAGAGCAATCCCCTAAGGTGGAATCTGTGCAATACATAAAGCAACTTTGTTAAATTAGAAAGAAAAGAAAATTAAGCACTCAGGATAGACCAGCACATCACAGCTGAAGTACCAATGGGCAGGTCTCAGGCACAAGGCAACTCCCAAGCTGGTAACTAGATCACTGTGTCTTAACACCACAGGCTGTTTTCTCTTCAGTGCTTGCAACTGTCATTACCATTAATGAGCATGCATATGTGCCTTGAGGGGAGAACATCCTCCCTCTGCGGCCTCAAAACTTGTTTATAAATCCCTCCAAAAATCACTTTGTGCTCACTGTTCCGCACAGAAAGCTATTACAGCAGCTCAATGAACTGGTGCCTTCCTTTCTCCTTCCCCGCTGCCTTCCCTTATCCGAGGGACCAGTAGAGAGACTCCAAAAGAGGAGAGGACTCTCCCTAAGCAATGCAACCTTGGGAGCCGCAAGGCAAACTCCCAGGTCCCGCATGCAGGTGCCCTGCACGAGCAGAGGCGCAGCTGGGCACACAGCAGCTCTGCCCTCGCCGCAGCAAACCCAGGCCGAGAGGCAGGGCTAAGCGGATGCAAAGCAGCGCTGCTTTGCACGGGCACTGCGCTTCCGCAGCGCTGCTCCAGGCTCCGTGCCCGGCTCCGACACCGGGGCGCGCACGGCGCCCACGAGCAAGGCCTGGCCCTGGCGAGCAGGGAGCGCGCGGCCCTGCCGCAGAGCTGGAAGGATCCTCTTGGGAAGCCTATGATGTGCTTAATGCAGAGGATACTGTTGCAAAGCTTATTTTGAATGGATTATTAGCTATGTTAGGAAATGAAAGAAAATTTGCACTATGGACAAACAAGGAAAGTTCCAATTCCCTTTAATCCAAACCCTGTTAGCGAGAGCAGCAAAAGCTCAAGCTATAGCGCGCGGGAGCGCGGGGCGGCGGGAAAGCGGCCTGCGGGACAGCCCGGCTCCCGCTCCCGCTTCCACACGGTCCGCAGGAAGCGGCTCCCGGAGCCAGGCACAATCCCGTCAACAGGAGACTGCCTCAGGCTCTGACCCCCACCCCTTACACGGCTTTATTACCTCTCTTCTCCGCAGAAGGGGGCACTGAAAGCACATTAATTAAATTCCTGCCTTTTCTCATTAAAGAGCCTCTCAGGATCTAGAAGAGAAATGCTTTCTGTGCTGAAACAAAATCACCCTTTCAGTTCACTTCTCACTTCCAAGTGTGATGTAGGGCAACAGTTACATTCGTTTGCTGTTCCTCTGCTATGGATGCTCTTTCTGCTTTGAGAGGGCAAGGTCTTTCCAGCCCATACCCGAGCTTCTCCTACTGCTTACCTATGAACAGTCGGACTTGCACTCAAACCATCACAACCTTTGGTTGTGGTGGTTGTTACAATGCAATGGGTTCAACACACAGACTTTACCATGATCAGCAAAAGAATAAAAGCTGCCACCAACAGCTGTCTTAGTTTCCTTTTTCTTTTAAACTGGATCACTACCAAAACGCAAAAACTAAACACATGTTTAATAAAAAAAAAAAAAAGTGGTGACGCTGTCCATGGCTGCCCAGGAAATACAGCAAATCCCAAGTCAACTTTTTCAAGTTTCCTGGCAACACAGTTGATACTATAGTTTAAATTATTCTGTACTGCTATTATAAAATAAATAAATAAGCAAGCCTGGAACAATTTTGTTTCACTTCTTTTGTATAGATTTGCATGGAGAAACAACTTGTTTTTCATCACTGTTTTCCATAAGTGCTGGAACCAGCTGTAGACACATTCATTTTTTTTTTTGTCTGCAAATGCCACAAATGCAGTGCCAATGTGTGCCCGAGACACACACATATTTCTACACAATATGGACAACAGTGACTGAATTTGAGTCAGTATCTTCTTGGACTCCAGCTCCAAAAGATCTCACAAGAAAAAGATGCACGTTCAGCCTATGGATTTTCTTACCTGGAGCTGGGAAGATGAATTCAAGAAACTCAAACTGCAAAGATTACTAGTAGAATAACAGCTACCAGATAATGTAAAAATTTCACCACTTGCACAGAAACAACAGACTATGGAATCAGTGCCACAGGATTCTTCGAGCCAAGGACAACAGCTGGTTATAACGCTGGATTTGATGAGGATTAATTGTGGAGCAACAATAAATCCATATTCATGGACAAACTTGCTTTACTATTCGTACTAAAGCAATACTACAAATATGTTTCTTAAGACAGCAATGAGTTTCCACTTTCACCCAATTCTTCTCATTTTAAGGGTCCTCCTACCTACATGACCATAGACTCTGTATAAACGTTCCTAAACTCTTCCTTTCATTAAAGAAAAACAAAAAAGAAAAAAAAGTGAAAAAAGAGACTGTCAAAATCTCTTGCTTCTTAGTAAATGCGGATAAGGAGAGGCTAGATGTAAAAGAGATCCTGTTCCTAAGCATCCCAGAGATAACGCCAAGGCCAGCTACACTAAGCAGCAGAATGACACTCATGTTCCTCTTGCACACACCCATAGGAATATTTTTGAACAGTTCAGAAAATGCTAGAACCTGTTTTACACCACACTGCCTGCAAAAAACAAGCTTCCTTAGTCTCTGCAAACCCAGGCGTGCAGAGGGGCTTCGGGAAGCAACAGCAAATGTCATACTGAGAGAAGGACCAAAAGCAGCGTAAGGCAGACGATGGTTCTGCGCAGCGCTTGCGCACGTGCCCACGGCTCTGCATTTCTCCCATCACCAATGCCCTTTTAAATTCAAGTTTCTTTAAAAGGGCTTGTAACACAAGCGTAGCTAGCTGGTATTTCTGGCCACAGCCAGGAGCGTACGGGACATGCACTGAGAGCACGGGACTGCACGGATGTCAGAACTGGTACGCGGCACACGAGGGACACAGGGCACCACTGGCCTAAACTGCCTGTCCATAGCGTAGCTCCCCACAGCTGGCACTGCCTGATCCAGCGGGGAGCACAGCTGGTCCTCCTGCCACACAAGAGGCAACTCCAGCATGGCAAACAGGAGAAGAGAGTGCAGATTCATAAGCAAGTGCAAGTTTCACACAATATGACATCAGCTCTTATACAATTTTTACTATCACATGATATTTCCTTGCTATAGAGTTTCACAGCCAAACAGTCTCTTTAATCATTTCTGACTTCTTTGTAGAGGAGGATCCTGTCCAAAGCTGGGGTCTGCACAGTGCTATTGGCCATGGTGAGCAGTCCTTGGCTGCTCTGTTAATGCTGTGTCCATTAGATACCCGGCCATTTTCCTCTCTTTGCTGCAGAACTGCACTACAGCCCCTCTGTAACACAGCGCAACATGGTTATTAATCTACAAGAAATGTGAAACGTTGCAATTATTTTATTGGTCCAAAATTTGGGGAAATCTAAGAAACCTCTGCTAGCATTGTTACACAGGTAGAAAACCATATAGGTAATATTTCATGCACGATTCTCAACTGGGTCTCCGCAACCTATTTTGAAAGCATTGTAGCATTTACCTTCAGTCCTGTCCGGCAGTTTCCCACTCTTGCTCGTTGTTCCAGTGTTGACTGTTTCAGACGAGGTGCTCAGTTTGGTGTTGGGGTCTCGCTTCGGTTTTGGTGGCGGCTGCTTACGGGAGCTGCTACTTTCGTCATCGGTTCCTCCAACAGAATGGAGAGACTGGGATCTCACGGCGAAGCCACTGGAGCAAGGATGTGGCAGTCTGTCCTGAGGAGCAGGCATTGTCATAAAGCCCATGCGGAAATGTTTCCCCACGTAGCTTCCTTCATTTCCTCTTACTACTTCTCCACCTATGCTGTAAGAGAAGACATGCACACAAGTAAACGATCCACCTCTGCTCCAAGAGCACCAACAAGTAGGCTCTGGTTTCATCTGCAGCTTGCTGGAACTGGCATATAGAGCAGCCATGGTCTGTAATAGCTTAGCGTGTACATCCATGGCACTTTGTGACATTTTTTGCTGGAACAATAGATGACCATAGGAATAGAGGAACTGAGATGATTACCTGACTTCCAATTTTTTTTGTCCCCCCCCCCCCTTTTTTTTAATTATTATTTGTGTCCTATAGCAAAATTGCAGAAAAAGAACATAACCATATTCTAAGGTCACTACAGCTTCAGTGCTGTGGATCCCACCCTTAGTCCTCAAAGATCCAGGCCATTCATCAGGCTGCTTCTCCCACAAGTCACAAAACACTTCTTAATACAAAACACACAAACACCATAAAAATTCTGCAGTGAAACCAGGGTGTGACTAAGTCATTCCTGCCAGGAAATTGCTGGGTAAAAGCATCCAGCTAATACTAATGAGGGAACATTATTCAGTGCAGTGGAAGAAAATTTTAAAAACTTTTTTTCAGATTCCCCACTGACTTGGGCACCAAAACATCTTTTGCATACTCAAAACTTTGAAACCTCTTCTCCAGCATTTTTTTTTCCATAGATTTATCAAGGCTAATTCCATATTAATTTAGGTTCCTCCCTCATATACCCTGCTGAACATCTCTGGAATGGAGCTCAGGAGCTTCATTCCTCTGATGGTTAAAAACCTCTCGCTTCTTTCCAGGCTAAGGATGCCCTGACCATAACATTATGCTTTATCCTCAGGGCAGTCTTCCTCACTGCTGATATTTACATCCCCTTGACAGCAAAAACACTGACAAAAGAAAATCTTAGTCTTGCAATTTTTGCTTTGTAAACAAGCAATGCTCTTTTTTGCTCTTAAAACATGATGAAACACAATGACTATTAGAATTGAGCAGCCTGTTTTTCAGCACAGCTGAACAAAACCACCAGTAACCGAAACGCAGATACATGGCTATGCACTCAGAATTTTACAAAGAGAAATTGAGAAAAGGGTTTTACTCAAGCTGCAAGTCACTGTGACTAGGAAGGGCCTATAGAGCAAGTGTGAAACGTCAGAAGGCAGGGCTGAGATTTTAGGAAAATCAGGTTACCGGTAGGGCAAAGATTACAGCGTTAGAAATGCAGCATCACGTATTGATCCGCAATCCCCCCACTCATCTCTGACTGCAGACATACACGTATTTTAGAAGATAAGGCTCTTGGGCTACAATCGATCATTCCCCTTCAGACTAAACCATGGTAAGGAAGAAACACTCCCCAAATTACTTGGATACAGGTACTTGGATACTTAACTCATCAAATGCACGTGAATCTGCAGCATGAGCAGCGTCAGACTGGGAAGACACAAGAGCAGGCGATGAGAGAGCAACGAGCTGGGGGACACCCCAAGGAAACACCCTCCAAGCGTCCAAGAGCACAGGCGGACAGCCCTGCTGAAACAGGGCAACGGGGGCTCTGTTTACAAGGGCGCTGGAAATGGTGGCACTGTGGGCATGTACAAATGTCACTGTGAGGACTGCGAGGTCCTGGAAATCCCTAATTGCCTCCTGCTTCCCCTTCACATAGAATGAAGCCAGGTCAGTCTGCTCTGTATGCTTCCCATTTGATATTGCCCTGGGCTGGTGCAATTTGTTTGGTGTTGAACACATCTCCCCCTCTAAAAGACAAGAACATTTCTCCATGGTTCATTTGAAGAGTGAGTGAGGTCACTGCATTCCCTGACACTGCCCCCAGGAGACTGTAAATCTTCATCTTTTTTGCAAGGTACCCGCACGCTCCGTCTCCTCACCCCCACAGACTGGTGCTTCATGTGTGATAAAGCACAATCCCTATGAGCTACTGAGCTCCTGCCCTATTCTCACAACCCAGCAGGTCCCATCGAACGTGTCCCCGCCACTGACACACACCTGCACACGCAGCCACACACGTGTGCACACCCCGACCCTTGTCTGTAACCAACCTATTACCGAATTGTAATTGGCATCAGTTCCAGAGGGGTTTGCAGCCAGAAAGATCAAAAGGTAGAACTCATTAATTTGAAGATTAAAAACCTGTAGCTAATTTAAATGATTAACTATGCCTCTACTAATCTTTCATAAATTGTTCTGAAAATAATATAATCCTCTGATGCTAGAGTACAAAGAAGTGCCTGTCACATTATTTAAAGAAGATTAGTATCCAAATACGGGGAAAACGCAGGTGGGGAATCTGCTTCCTTCCCTAAGCCCGTTGTACGGTAAGACATGTACAGCAAACAAAATGTCAGCTCTCCATGTGCTTGTTATGTTACAGTCCTTACCAGGCTGCTCTTCCTCCGTGCATTTACTCCCCTCCTCTGTGGGGGTATTGAGGCAGCCTCTGCCCTGGATGCAGCTGCACAAACTGCCCTGAGGTGACAGGCTTGACCCTTTGCTATGAGGACACAGACCTTCATTCACATGAAACGTGTTGTTACCGAGCTGTTGCATCTTATATTTCATAAATACAAAGACACCTAAATCAAAGAGCAGTGTTTAAAAGCACTAATTCATTAAACCATTGATTTACATTTTTTCCATTCCCTCCCTCTGCATCACTGTTTTTTTCATTCTTTGTTGACTTCCTTTCAACACCTGCAGTGAGAAGCCACCTCCTCACCTGCTCGCTACGCTCGCTCCAAAGTGAGTGGCCTATCAGCCAGCCGGAGGGAGCAGCTGGCATGGACGGGAGCAGATCTGCTGCTTCACAGCTGGTGCAGATGTGGCCTTGTTCTTCTATGTCCTCTGGTCAGCTGCTAGACAATACACAAGGACACCAAGTCCTCCTTTCCCAGCATATTTGAGAGTCCATGTCTCTCTGTAGGGTGTAGGAGCTGATGTTCAGCTGATGCTTACGCACCATAAAGCCTAGGATGGTAACGACTGGCTTCTGAACCTTGGTCCCGGTCACTGGCCCTCACTCAGGATCACAAAAGATTTGTAGTTGTTACTTCTGCTGCAAGGGAGTCCTGAGCACCAGCAGTGAGTATTTCCCACTAAAGCACAGCGAATAAAAGCAAGACTCATCAGAGGACCAAATTCACACCTCAGCAATACGGACTGATCACATCAGATGGATCGCTCTGAAACAAGTCTCCCCAGACTCATCCGCAGGTGACAAGCAGGTAAGAAAGACAGGATGGCAGAAGAGAAGCAGGGCACCCCTCCAGCAGCAGGAGGTCAACGGGAGCCTGGGACAAGCTCGTGCAGCTCTGCGCTGCCCTGGTCCATCCGGGCAGAGTTAAAGGGTTTGCTTAGGAGGATGCTCCTCCTGCCCCGGCTGCACAAGTGGCTGGAGCTGCTGTGTGTCCCACTACAGCACAACAGCCTCAAAAAAGATTTACAGGCCCCTTGCTGCATACAGGACTATATAGAGCGCTAGGGGAAATAATTGTGTAGATGATCTCACTCCATTATTTCTGACAGCAAAGAGCCTGCACTCTTCATTGTGCTCATAATGAGCTCTATCTCATTTCAAAACTGTATTATATGAGTTGCGGTAAGTATTACACAGTTTATTAATATATATGGAAATACAGATTTGGATTATTCCTCTGGGAAGTTTCAATTTGAACTTGGCTAGGTTCAACTGCTTCTCTGACAAGGAATTATATACAGCAGTCGAGTAACCGTTAAAAATGCAACAGACATTTGCCTACAAAAAAAGACATGAATTATATAATAATAAAATTAATCATACAATGGCTCATGCTACACACAAAGCAAAGCTGACTTAGTACTAAAGAAATATGTTGGTATCTGGCTAGGTACAGAGACCTAAGCTGCAGTAAATGGGGAAAAAAGGAGAATGATGAAGTTTCCTTCTGACACCCCTATGGCAGCACGTTCTGAAGAAGCTTGGCCTTGAAAGACATGATACCTGGCTTTCCAAAGCTCACCTAGAATTCCTTCTAAGGCCACCAGGTGCCAGGTTGCACGCTTGGTGCATTGGAAGGAAGGGAGCTTTCCAGTCACCTCCAGCTCTACACGGTCGTGGAAATCAATCCCTAAAACCAACACAACATCTGCCTTCAATTCATGATAGTGCATTGCGGCTTGCACTAACGGGAGCTGGCTCTGGATGCTGTTCTCACTGAGCAAACAGCAATCCATTCCTTTGTGTATCAAGTCTTTTCTGGGTAAGAAAACAGTTACTGTTATTTTACCCTTTTTTTAAACCATTTGCTTACTCCTTCGCCAATGAATCTCCAGCTCCTCTGCTCACATGATGTGTTCTGAGCATAAAGGGCTGAAATGGCTTTGAAATGTCTATTCCCCATCAGAATAAATTATACACATATATACCAAGGATGACACATTTTACTTTGTATCTCAGAAGCACTTTCAAGATTAGCATAAATTATATTTGTAAATTAGAGGTTGGATGCCAAAAAAAAAAAAACAGAAGATATACTATTTTTATCCTCTAAACATGATTTCAGCAGACCATGAAATGCAATACTGAAGAGAGAAGGGCAGCAGCACAATCACGGATTCAGGAATTGCACTGCAAGTATGGTTTTATACAAAGCTACTCCACATTAAAATTAAATTAAATATACAAGTTACATGCCTTTCTTTTCTATATTTTTGTTTTAAAATCATATTGCAGAGGCCTCATTCCCAGGCCTCATATACATGTTTTAAAATCATATTGCAGAGGCCTCATTCCTTGTTCCCAGGCAATGCCCATAGCTGATATTTCCCTGCTTCTCTTTCCTGAATGGCTGCAAACAACTCGTGCTCACCTTGCACTGAGATGCCCCGGCAGATAATACAAACGAGGGGTGGAGGTAGATGCTGAGGGCACAGGAATCGCTGGCACCGGCCTCCAGATCCCCTACCCACATCAGGCACTTGCTTTATAACACTAGCTGACTCCTGTTGGAAGGCCAAGGAGTTACTGGAATTGC